ACACCTGGCCCACATGGCTCAGCTCAGCGGAGTCGTTCAGCTTAGAATCCTTTTCTCAACCAGTAAATTATGCTGTGAAGGTCCCGGAGTTTCTTACTGGAATTTATAAAAAGATCTTAAACCAATTAAGCTGGATTTTGGAATAAAAAGTAACTAAATCTATGTTGATGTGAAGTTTACTCTGGTCAGACAAAAACTAAAAAACCTGGACACACACTTAAAGAGCAAGTCACCCCCTACAAGAAACTTACTTCACTCCCTCTTCATGTTTGAAAAATGCAACAAATGCTGTTGCCTAGCAGACCGAGAGGGCGGAGCCGCTAACAAATACACACACACACACACACACACAAACAAGCTCACAACGGCATTGTGACATCATAAGGACCCGTTTACATCATAGCATTCCTCTTAGCCAATAGCTGTGGCAGATTTAAATTCAAATACAGTGCAGAGTTTTTACCCGACGACGGCGCAACACTGACAATTTTAGGCAGAATATTAAAATTTTAACTAAGATGCACTGAAGTACCAAATTATTGACCACACGTGTCTGCAGCACAATTAGACACACATTTATATAGTTTATCAGCAAAAAAAAAGTTGATTTGGGGGTGACTTGCTCTTTAAAATCTTCCCCAGGATTCCTATTTTATCGATTTACCTGCTGACACTCAAGACTGTAGCTGAAAAAGGAAGTTTTATATAAAAGTGTAGGTGAAATCAGGTGAAATGTTCCATTATTTTCAACCCAAAAAACACAATTAGAAAAACTGGATTTTGGGCAACAACTCACAAAAACAATAGAAACAAGTTAAAATTTCAAAACATCCAGACAAAAAAAAATGTAAATCCAAACATTTTAATAGAAAATTAAGTGTACATTTATATACATACAGTAAAAAAAAGAGCCCTTTTAACAAAGAAAGCCTACTCTCACTCTCTTCTTGCTCAGACTTTCCTCCTGCTGCAGCAGCTTCATGAGCGGAGCGTGGAGAGCTTTCCCGACTCGTTTCCCCGTCTGCAGGAATAAATAATCACTGCATAAACTCAAATTAAATAAACCTTTGTTTTTCTTCCTGATTACATTAAAAACGCACACACATTCCACCCAGCTGCGCCACCGCTCTCACCTCCGTCATCTCAAAGATGCTCTCTGGATCCAGACTGCCTCCGCCCACCTTCCTGGAGCAGGTGATGGTTCCGTTGTGAGTGACGGCGATTATGAGGCTCGCCACGGAGCAGGCCTTCTCTTGTAGAGTGGCGTCCACCACGTGTCTGTGGCCGACCTGCACGCAAACACAGCGCCTGCTGATTATTATGTTTAATGCAGATGTAAGAAAACATAATACGCTGAAATATTGCAATATTTTGCGTTAAGATACTGAATCAAAATTCAAAAGCAGTTTAGTGATTTTTTTTTATTAAGAGTTTACAGTCACAGAGTTGCTTTATTTTGTGTAGTGCAATTCAACCTCCGACAGATAGGTGGCAGCGGTTTTACTTGCCTTCAGACAAAATCTCTCGATAACCTCAGATTTGTCTTGGAAGCTTCCGGCCTGAGTTTTACAATAATTTTCAGTCTGGCTTTTCATCTATTTAAGCACCTCGTGATTTTTATCTTGAGAGGCGCTATAGAAATGATATTTTCTTCTTCTTCTTCTATCTAACCTGTATTGTAAGATATATATAAAAGCCAGATTCTTGCCAATACACACCCCTAATGTTTAATGACATCATTACCCATGAGCACCAGCGGTGATCGTACCTTACACAACGTCACGATACAGGGAACGTTTTCCACGTTGACTCTCATGCAGTCGTACGGATCGTCAGACAACTCAATCTCTTTTCCTCCTTCGTCATCTGATGTTATGTTTACTCTGGGAATTCTGTCAGTGAATCGATCAGAAAATTTTAAATTTTAACTAAGTAAAACGTGTACAAAATAAGTTTAACTCAAACAGACGCTCACTTTGTGTTGAAGAGAGCCGCCTTGATGGCTATCGAGATTGCGTCGTACAAGTTTCCATCGCACTGAAGAAGCTAAAGGACACAGTGTGAGATTTGGACTTTTACATCCTGTAAGGAAATGAGTACACAGCTGCTGAGAAGCTCCATCTCACCAGCACGTCCACATACAGCACCCAACAGTGCTCTCCGGGACTTATAGAGAGACTGTGGAGATCCAAGCTGTGTTTGTTGCTGAACACTTTGTAGAGAACGTTGCTCAGATTGGTCCCCAGCTCCTCACCTCCTCTGCCCTCAAACTCAGGTGTTGCATTGGCTGAACTGAAAGTAAACATGCCAACAAGTATGAGAAGTTACAAAACATATCGTCTTCCCAGTAGAACAGAGGTATAGTGATATAGTGACAGCACCGCCCCCTAGTGGCAGGCTGGCAAAACACAGGTTCAAGAAACGAAAAACATGATCCCAACACTTTGAAACAGCAAACATCTCCTAAATCACACACACACACACACACACACACACACACACACACACACACACACACACACACACACTTAATACAAATTGTGCATCCACATAGATCTTGAGCAGTAGCTCAACAGGTTGAGCGGGTTGTCCAGTAATCGGAAGGTTGCAGGTTCGATCCTGCTCCGGATGGAGAATTCTGCTGATGTGTCCTTGGGCAAGACACTTAACCCACCTTGCCTGATGGTGGTGGTTGGAGGGACCGGTGGTACCAGTGCTCGGCAGCCTCGCCTCTGTCAGCGCGCCCCAGGGCCGCTGTGGCTACATCGTAGCTCATCACCACCAGTGTGTGAATGTGTGAATGGATGAACGACACACTGCTTTGGAGTCCTTACTCTGAGAGGAGCTATACAAGTGCGGGTCATTTATCATATAAAAATTCTTACAGTGTCTTTATTTACATCCAATTTATCAATGAATTCTCTAAAGAACAACTTTTAAACTCACTTTTCTCAGCTGAAATTTTTTAACCTCTTGACATTATAGTGAATATTCACACATGAATTATGGGTAATATGTTTTGATAACTTCAACCTGATTTTCTAATCCTAAATTGAAAGGTATACAAAAAGTCACAAAACAGTAATCACATCAATCTCTCTCAAACAAGTGGCGATTTATTTGTTTTAAGAAGCAGATATCCACTTTGGAAAATGACCTAGCCGTTAGGTTATCTGTTTAGTTATTACGGATCTCCATTTATCCAAACTTATAGGCTGTTTTGGGAGCTATCTTTGATATTTTAATCATTAACTTTCTGCAGAAATCCACTTTAAAGGGACTAAACGACCACTTGATGGGCAAACAATTTAAATAATCAACATTTTACAGTCACTGCACCAGTAAAGGTTATACCAACCAGTCGACAAAGAATTCCAGGTAACCCTCATTTGGGATCATGGGTCTCGGTTTTCCAATCTCAGCCTTGACCCCGACAAGAACTGCTGTGTGTCCCTGAGAGGACCAACAGGGTGAATGTTAGCTTTAACGTTTACACTAAACGAGACAACATGGAGCTAAAACTCTGCTGATTGCTGTTACCAAAGTGACTTTAGCGGATCCGTCTGTGTTGGACACCACATCGGTCTCTATTTCCATGTGTCTGTAGTCCTCACAGCCTCTTCCGTCCACTCGTAAATCATCCTGTTGACCAAAGATCATGTCAACAGAGGAAGCTGATGCTAACTGAGTTAGCTCGGAGCTAAATCGAACCTAACAAACTCCTCCATTCAAAATCAAAACGATTAAATACTAAAGTCTTACCCGTATGCCGTGTAATATGTACACTTTCTCAGCTTCACTGACTTGAACCGTTGCCATGTTGCTAAAGAACGTATTACGATTTCTTCTTCTACGCTTTTTCTTCTTCTTCTGTGTCTAGCGAAACAACTGCATTAATTTCTCATTACCGCCACCTATCGGGAACGTTTCAAGACCGGCGCACCGGGCCATCACTCCATTCAGCCTCCCTGAAACATCTCTCTAGCCAGCAGCTGAATGTCAGCTTGAGGGGGAGCAGTGTGGGTTTTATCCTGGCGTTGGAACTTTGTTACATTAATTCCTAAACTAATTTGATGATCAATGCCCTATCCGTCTTCGTATCTGAGACTAACATGTTGCCCAAAATCCTTTGCAACAGTGTTTTTTTTTAAACAAAATGCAAATTATTTTCTCAAGATGGGACCTTTTCAAGATTTGAGGAGCAAACTTAGACATAGTTGACTTTTTCAAGGAAGTCTTGTCGGAAACACTATTCCCAATGGGTAATGCTGCATTTTAGACATATTGTGAGCCGCATGTCTCTTTGTTGGGAAGCACAACTCTTGGAAATAATTGCTTCCCTTCAAAGGAATTTCAGGGCTTTATTTGAACAAGAGCTGACCTATAACCTCACTGACATCGTGTGAAGCATAGTGTGAAATCAACGCTTGGCCGGGGTAGTCTTAATGTATCCTAAAAAAATATCACCTTTAATTTTAAGAAACGGAACCCACCAGTCCAAGAGTGTACCCTGATTTTGATATTGCTACTTCAGTTTACTACTGATCAAAATGCCTCATCTAATTAGAAAAATAAATGTAAACCACTGCAACACGGTGGAACTAAATGAGATCCAGGTTTACACCTGCTGAGGTTCGTCGTTTAAACCCCACTAACAAGCACACAATAAATAGTTATTGATTCTGGGCTTGAATTTTTTATTTTTTATTTTTTTTGCAGAATTTGATTCTTGTTTTACTTTTGGTGTGCCTGAGACATACATGTTTCCTTTTAGTGCAAAAAAACATAAATATATTTTAAAATTATAATTGTATTCGTTTTCTCACATGAGAAAGGGCTTTTATAAAAGTAATAATTCAAAAAATAATGCCATTATGTGATTGGCAAACTTAGGTTACGAAGTAAAACCTGTCAGACAAAACTCAGGGCCAACACGCCCGGCTAAAGGACTTCCTGGTTAGATAGCCATTGGTTTTCGACAGGTTTTCGCTGAGCTATTTTTGGATGTTATTGAGCTGGAAGCATCGAAACTGGTTCCGAGGACCACCTCCTGTAATTAGCACACAAATGAAAAAAATATCACCTCGTTGAGGCGGTGGCGAAAGCGGGAGCCGTTAAGAGCCGCTCACCGGATGTTGCTGCGGCTAGCTTGGAAGCTTGGATAAAGCTAACGAACATCAGGACTGGTGCTGCCACTTTGGTGCGTTTATTTTCCCCACAAAAGCTCGAAACTACGAGATATTTGTTTTCGAAGACAGATAACCAAGAGGTGGGTTATTATTTTTTATTTTTATCAATTCCAAAAACATTATAATCTTTCAGCTACTCGGGAATTCACATTTGCCCCTTCTGGCAGAGTCAACTTCCTGGTAGGAACAATTTCTTCAAATACTTCTCAAGTAAATACAGCGCAGCCACCCCTTCTATTTATTTATACAGGTACTCACTCTTCTACCCAGTGTTGTTATTTGTCTTTGAACTCTAAATATGTGTTTATTATAGCTTTACTAAATGCATTAAACAAAAACCAGGAATCATTTACACCAATGAGCCAAGGGCTTTGAAAATCAGATCGTTTTAGGTTTAAATGGATTACTAGTTATTAAATCTCTTTTGTAATCTCATTAGAAAGCAGATGTTCTGGTTTGAAACCCTGGAATTATAATGGATGTTGCTTTATGCAAACCTTATTACACCTTATTACCAATCACGTCACATATTAATGGAATTCCCTGATGACAGTAGCCTCCCTTGGAAGGACTTTATACCCCAAACCTCTCTGGATATCTTCATTATCTGTAAGATCCACTACAGAAGAACCACAGATTTTTGTCCTGGTGTGTTGAAGCCGTTCAGCTCCAAATGGGCCATAAGCACAAAATTATACAGGTGTTAAAGAGTTAGTGCTTTTTAGAATATATAATTAGGTGTCATTTAACACCAGAAGTAGCAGCAGAGATTCCAGTGGAATTTGTCTCCTATCAGGGACATTTGGGGTGGTTTAGGCATGTGGTTAGGATGCTTCCTGGTCGCTTTCCTCAAAGTTTTCTGGACAAGTTTCTGTTTGGCGGACCAAGAACTCACTAGAGGAGTTAGTTGTCCTCTCTGGCCTGGGAGCACCTCATTGGAAGGATGTTTGGGTTTCCTTCATGGACTGGAGAATTGATGTTTTTTCCAGATTTCGAGATTGCTACTTTGAGGTTTTTGTTCTGTGGTTGGTTTATGTGAAGCTGGCCCTCACTATTCACCTCCATTATTGGTCTGTCACAGACTGTCAAAAAAAAAAACAACCCAATAATTAATGACAGAGTGACCAAATGTGCTGCATCTGACTCAGTTTTGGTTTTGATCCGTTCAGTTTTACAAGTGTGATGAGTTTCTGTGTTGATGGTAAAAGCAGCCATTCTCTTGGAGAGCTTGATCTCCAGTTTGGAATCAAAAGAAAGCATTTTAACAAGGAGGCCCGTGTTGATGCACTTGGGTCAGTGTCGCTCTAGACCTTTTATGCTGCCTTGTTGTGCTGAAACTCTGAAGAAATCTCAAGGATTCTCAAGAATTATGAAGAAATCTCAAGAATTATGAAGCTGGCTAGCAAAGCAAGGAAACGCACATCTATTTTCTTAGTTAAAACATTTTCCTCCACAAACATATTTTTGACATCTACTAGTTTGCTCTATTACATTTTAGTTTGTTGTCATTTAAAAGCATTTTAAAAGCAATAAAATATGTAAAACCTGAAATACCCAGAGTTCACATTTTAAAAAGTGTTGAACATTTGCTTAATCAAAACATCAGCTGTGGTCTTTAGTAGGAGTGAACGACTTGTAAGTCGTTCTCTGGGGAAACTAAGCTCAGATTCGCCTGAATCAGGAAGTACAAGCAGTGTTGCCAGATCCAAAATCCCACAATATCGTACAGAGAGGCTTAAATTATCGTTTTTCAGTACAAATTATCGTACATTATAAATTTGATAATAACGTTCTATAAATGACTTCTCACTCCAATATAATATAACAAAGAAGGTGTTTTATATTGCCCTGTTTAAATAAACATCTTTAAAACCAGTAATATAATGCTTATAAACGTGCAGAGTGTGTTGGCACCACTCCGACCTCCACGCATTGACACAATATGCACATTTGCGCAGTCCTATTTATTTCATTTCTACATAGGTTAAAAGCAAGCGACAAAACTTCACAGCAGTGGAAAAACTGACCCAATAAATGACACAGCAGCCTACTCACCTAGTTGCTGATCTCGATCTCCTCATCTGATTCACTGTCCGTCGCAGCAGAATGCCTTTAATCACCTGTACTAAGTGGTCTGTGCTTCTCATTGCAATGTTGTGCTCGGCTAAAAAGCCACATAGCTTGATTTCAGCGTTTTTCACATCATTTTCAGACTTCTCTTTTTCATTAGTTTGTAGGAGACATTTATAAACCTGTAAGCACTGAGGTGAAATCTGACTTCAAAACAGTTTAAAATTATGTAATTGACTTGGGAAAGCCACAGCAAAAGATGGTGTTACTAGATGCAATGTGAAATTAACGTACATTTGAGGATTTTTGAAACTATTGATCGTACATCGTACAGAGCCCATAATTATGGTACAAATACGATAATTATCGTACATCTGGCAACACTGAGTACAAGTCAGCTGGAGGAGAAAGTAGCTTCAGATGACAGGATTTGGATTCTTGTTTCCTGAACATCTCTGATTGGATAACAGCAGCACAGCTCCACCACTGACTCGGTTTGCTTTGCAACATTAATGTTTTATCCCTTCAAATAACACACACCTGGAGGAGTTCTGCTGTGCGGTGGAGTTGCTAATGATAATGGTTAGCTTCTACTAGTCGAGAAGTTCTGTTTCCTGGATGCTAAACCAACAAAAGCCTTCCCTGTCATGAGTCAGGATGGGTGAGTCCGTGAATTTTCAGTGGCGGTGCAGCGTAGATCTGTCAGGCTTTTCAAATCCCTGTATATTTTCCATCAGAAGCTAATGCAGGATATGGGTGTAGGAGACTATTTTCATGTTCAGCCTGCATGAAAAACTGCATAAAAAGATGTTTTTTCAGTGTTCCACACATTTAAGAAGACTGCATTCAGGGTTTTATGTCAACAGGTGGCAGAGTTGAGCTTGTTTAGTGAGCCTTAAGGGTTTAAATTAACTTTACTGATGCTGAACGTGAAACGTTTCTTCAACCCCCATCGCCTGCATTAGTCGCAGAATGGAAATGGGTGGGAAAATGCTTGGGTCACAGAGAGCCAGTTTCTTTTATGTCACCTAAAAAATTAAGATGTCGCAGTGAGAAGAGGCGGAGAAAAAAATAAAATAAAATGGCCAGGGCTGCATGTAAAATATATTTTCTACAATTTCGAAAAAAAATTTCAATAATTCCCATATTGATAAATGTTTAAAAAAATGTATCAATATACTTTTTTTCTACATCGTCCAGCCCTATCATGAATATTATTTAGCAAGCCTTCAAATCCTGCAGTCCCCCCCGACTAACTTCTACTTCCTGAAACAAGAGCACCGGCGTTATTACCACAGAAAACAACTCACAAGGCATTTAAACTCAAGACCACAGCAGAAAAGAAAAGAGAATGAGCACTTTAAACGGCGTGTTTAATAGTGATCCTTAATTATTTTGAGCAGTTACTAAGCTGAACAGATGTGGACAGCTGTGCCGGCTCTTTTCTTTAACTTTGCTGTCGTTGTGTCCTTGGGCAAGACACTTAACCCACGTTGCCTGCTGCTGGTGGTCGGAGGGACTGGTGGCGCCTGTGCTCGGCAGCCTCGCCTCTGTCAGAGCGCCCCAGGGCAGCTGTGGCTACATTGTAGCTCATCCCCACCAGTGTGTGAATGGGTGAATGACTGATTGTGTTGTAAAGTGCCTTGGGGGGTTCCAGGACTCTAGAAGGCGCTATATCAAATACAGGCCATTTACCATTTGTGAGTTAGTTCATTTGAAGGCTTTCCTCTGAGTATTTATTTATGGAGACCTGCATCTTACAGGATGATGCCTTTGCTTTTCACCTGATTTCTTTGTCTCATAATTGTTGCAGCATATAAATGTTGCCTGGTGATGAATGCTAGCAGGTTTTTCAAAAGAAAATTCTCCTCTCCATCTGTCACCCCCACAGTATGCGGCTGGAGCCACGGGCGGTGTAGGATGAAGAGCCCGGCTCACCGCAACAGAGACATCGAGCGGCAACCTGGCTACCTGAAGCCCGAACACTGCGCTCCTCCCCCGCCCCGCAGCAGCTCGGACACCATGTGGTTCATCCGCGACGGCTGTGGCATCACGTGTGGCATCATCACCTGGCTCCTGGTCTTCTACGCCGAGTTCGTTGTGGTGTTCGTCATGCTGCTGCCAGCCAAGAACGTGGTCTACAGTCTCTTCAACGGCGTGCTCTTCAACGGCCTTGCCTTCCTCGCTCTGGCCTCTCATGCCAAGGCGATGTGCACAGACCCGGTCAGTCGAACGCCCGGAAACGTAAACAATTTTATACCTTTAGGCTTAGCAGCACGTCACACAATGATTTTAATGGTTTCATCCCAGATTACAGTCTTAGAATTAACTTCTGACCTTCAACGTTTAATAAACACAACCTTCAGCTTAAGTTTAAAAATTCAAATCAAACAGCATTTCACAGAAAAACACATTAAAAGTCTGGTACCAGCATTTCTCTCTATCATATTGTTTATTTATTTATTTTTTTGTTTTGTTGGTTGAGTTATTTGTATTTTTAATCAAACGATGTTTTTTTTGTTGTTGTTTCCCTCTCCTGGCTTACAGGGAGCTGTGCCTAAAGGGAATGCAACCAAAGAATTCATCGAAAGCCTGCAGCTCAAACCGGGTCAGGTGGTCTACAAGTGCCCTAAGTGCTGCAGCATAAAGCCCGACCGAGCTCACCACTGCAGGTAGGAAGACGCCGCCGCAGGTCTGCTCCACCCGTTCCACCGGGAACTCGTCTCCTCCTCTGTTTCTGTTTCGGCATCACGTGTGTTCGAGGCTGCACGTGCAGCTTTTCCCTGCAGAATCTGCAGCTCGGTAATAGGGATTCCCTCTGGGGCTGCTCAGATGTTCCTCTGGGATCTCGAGGCGTGAAAAGTGCAAAAAGACCACAGAGTAATTAAAATTTAATTGAGTCACTGGGTGTTAGTTTAGTAGACAGTGCTTCATTTTGTCTGTTTTAACTTAAATATTGTTTGTTGTTGTTTTTATTTGAGTTCACAGAGACACTTAAATCTGACCCTGATGTGACTTTTTGCTCTGTTATTTGATAAAAGAAGAGTTTCCACGTAAATCAACATAAAGTGTCTCCGTCTGCTTTTGTCTCCAGTGTCTGTAAACGCTGCATTAAAAAGATGGACCACCACTGTCCCTGGGTGAACAACTGCGTCGGAGAAAACAACCAGAAATACTTTGTGCTCTTCACTGTGAGTCTTTATTTACGTATTTTAAACAAACCTAAATTAGATTTGATTCTGTTGATGAAATCCTGACTAGTTCAAACAGGAGAGTGCATTTGTATTTCACCAATAAGGATAATTATTAACTCTACATCTGTGTTTGGTTGCTTTCAGATGTACATTGCATTAATATCCTTCCACGCGTTAATTTTGGTAGCCTTCCACTTCTTTTTCTGCTTTGAAGAAGACTGGTCAAGTGAGTATTGTTGTGTTAGAAACAAAACTTTCTTTTGTTTTTAAATCTGGAATAGCCGCTGGGTCTGAGTAATAACAGCAGACTACAGAAGCTTATAAGGAACTGATGCTATTTGTGGCCTAGAGATACATCTTCACACGTTTTAATGGTTAAATTGGAGAGATTTCAATCGTTTGGCATTAAAGTCTTTAAATTATTTCAGTTAAAACCAGATTTAGTGACATGTTGGTTTATTGAGTATCGTCTCAATGTGGATTTGACAGATTTAAAACTCAAAACTCCTTCACAATAAAAGCCATGAACAAATGTGTGGGCCACTTAACCATTTCTGTAATAGGTGTTCTATGTGATCAGTGATGGCAGAAATGGTTTTACTAATGGGGTTAGTAATTTATTTGAAGAAGTAACTATTACTAATTACTTTTTCTAAGGAACACTGAACATGGTAATTCACGGGGGTTTGAATTGAAGGCATCTGGAATTCTTTGGTTTCTTGAAGACGTTTCGCGTCTCATCTGAGAAGCTTCATTAATTCTGACTGGAATATGGGAGGGTCAAGCTTATAAACTGTAGCTGCCTATTGTTCAGGGTATCCGCGGGTCCTTAAAAAGTCTTAAAAAGTCTTAAAAAGTCTTAAATTTGCTTTTCCAAATTTAAGGCCTTAAAAATCCTTAAAAATGACAAATAATCATTAAATAGTGTTTCTGAAGGTCTTAAATAACCAAAGACCCAATAAACAAGATTCTTTTATTTCTATAAAAATTTAGTGAATTTCTAGTTGGTGTTCAGCATTTTTTGTGTACGATGTTGGCGTAAGCGGAACCGTACACATTCAGTTGGTTGTGAAAGGGGGCTATTTTTAGATGAGCACATTAGCTGGTTAAGCTAGCGGGAGCTTGCGCCATGGGGAAGTGCAAGTTTAATGGTAGCTGGATGGCTAATCCCATGTTCGCGACGTGGTTAGCACCGGTTCCAGGCAATGGCTGGAAATTATAGCTTAAATGCAATTTTAAAAAATTGCTTAAATTTGGTCAAAGTGGCCTTAAAAAAGGCTTTAAAAAGTCTTAAGTTTGGCTCCTTTAAACCTGCAGATACCCTGATTGTTGCTTAATGAGCTGAAACTACTCTTGAATACCCCACCCCCATGCCCCCGAAGAGTCATTGATATCATTAGGTTTTATTGTGCTAGAATGGTTGTTTTGATCTAACACGATAGAACCTAAAGCCTGGGGCACACTGGAGGCGGATGCGCCACGTCACGCCGGAGATTTTGAGAAGTCAAGTGGTTACACAGGACGCACCGCTGAACGCTTTTTGGACAGTCGCGCGATAGTCACAACATCACGCGGGACTTGAGAACATGAAGCAGGAAGTGACTCCCCGTGTGCCCACCGTCATTAACTATAATGACTTCTTTTTAAAATGACGGCGCGTCCGCCTCCGGTGAGCCCCAGGCTTAACAACATCAACTACTCTTCGGGGGCAGGGAGGAGGAGTGCTCATAGGTAGTCAGAATTGACAAAGCTCGTTGGATGAGAAGCGAGAAACAAAGAAGTCCAGTTGCCTTCGTTTGAACCCTTTGGGTTACCATCAGCTGGATGACTGAGAACCTTCCCCACCATACTGACAGGAAATCACTCATTAACCTTCCTGATTTTGATTCATTTATACTGTTTCTGCTCTCATTCAGAAATGTTTTTTTAAAGGTCACAACGTTATTAATAAGCCATTTGAGGCTTTTTTAAAATTGAAGGTAAGATGCACATTAAAGACTCGTCTCTCCATCCAGAGTGCAGCGGCTTCTCTCCACCAGCAACGGTCATCCTCCTCATCCTCCTCAGCTTCGAGGGTCTCCTCTTCCTCATCTTCACTGCAGTCATGTTTGGGACTCAGGTCCACTCCATCTGTACTGATGAAACGGTGGGTGAAAAAACCAGAATCCCTCCACCTCACTGTAGCAGGATACATCTCCTGACAGAAGAGTCCCTTCAGCTTCCTGAAGGGGTTTCCTGCACCTTCTGTAGCATTCCAAAATGGCTCCCTTGCTACACATCAAGTTCCTCCAGCTATGGTTCCCTTAAAAAAAACAACCTTATTTCCCTTCTGCCCCCTCGTTTATAGCTCTCACTTGTGTGAAGAACTAAATGAGCTTGGCTCCTTCAGCTTACACACACACACACACACACTCACGCATTGGTTTAGATTTCCCCAAATGAAGTGGAACTGAAGGGTAAAGGAGTCTGTAGCTCACTAAATCAGAGTGTAAATGTAAGTAGGAGCAGGTAATCTACTATTCTTCAGTCCTCCTCAGGCAGGGTTGAGTTTTTTCTGCTGGAGCCGCCCACGACGATGACTCACCGAGCCTTTTCTTTTCACCACAAAGATCATCTCTTTCAGCCAATTTCCCTGTTTTAGCAGTTATCTGTTTAGTTGGAGTGCTTTTGTGTGGATGTGATTGTGTATGTTTTTTTAATGCAGATGACTCATACACACACACACACACCTAATCTATGAAACGATAAAGGGATTAATTTCCCTGTTGGTGTATTAAATTCATAACATGCGTTTGCAGCTGAAGTTAGCCGACGCTCATTATAGCTTTAACCTCTGCAGGGTATCGAGCAGCTGAAGAAGGAGGAGAGAAGATGGGCCAAAAGGTCCAAATGGATGAACATGAAGGTGGTGTTCGGCCACCCGTTCTCCGTCGCTTGGCTCAGCCCGTTTGCAACTCCCGATCATGGAAAGGCCGACGTGTACCAGTACATAGTGTGAGCGCTGGACGCTATGCTGCTGCAGAAGCAGCTCGATCTCCTGTGACTCGGACACAAACTCATTGAAACCACTTCATTTTATCTCCTTTGTGACTTATGGATATTTCCCTTCTTGGTGCTGAACGAGATTGTGCAAGAGCAAAAGAAAAGCTCAGGATGAGCTAGAACAACTCGAGTGGCACCTTCAAGAGTTGGAAATGGGAAAATCCTGACTGAGCTGTTTCTGCTGCAGTACGTCTGATCATTTCCTCCCTAATGGGATTAAAAATACCAGCAGAAGGTTTTTGTTCCAGGTGCTGAGATGGATGCCTGGTTTTGTCTTCCTGCAACCACTGTCATTGTCTTCTCTTAAAACGTGCCGTTTGTGTTTTTCTGCTGAATGCTGCAGGTGAGTTGCCTTAGAGCAGCCCATTAACGAGTAGCACATCAGATTAAAAAAAAACAGATGTTTCTATTTATTGCCTTAACGTAACGGTCCAGGTTATTGCTGGTTTAATCTAAAGAGAAGTTGTTGCAACTTTAATTAATAGATGGAATTATGTTATGCTACCCTAACCCTTCATCTGGCGAGTTGTAAAATCAGAACAAATCCCATACAGCTGAGACATTCCCAATCAGTCCGATGAAAGATTTTCCTTAAAAAATAACAATTTCCTTTATGTAATACTGCTGATGTAAAGCTTTACAAAGAGATGTTTTAAGATCAACTATTTCTTTGGACAGAAGCTGTTCAGAAAGGTGTTTATATTGGCTAAGGCTAACATTTTATAACTTTTACACAAGGACATTTTAAAATGGCAAAAAGAAAACGCAGTTATAAACCCAACCTACTTTTCTTTTTTTGAAAATAATCAATTTGTTTCTTTCAAGTCACACAAAGCATGATGCTGTACTGCTTTTAACTAAAAAGTCTTTAAACCAATTTTCCTTCACGGTTACGAGCAACATCCAACAGCTGTACCCTGAACAGTCTCTAGCTAAAAGGATTTGTCCATCAGATGCTGAGCACATAAGAAATCTTAAGGATTATAGTTGAAAACATTAAACCTTATTTTAAAAAATTTTAAATTCCTTTTTGTACGATTGAACCCAAAAAGTAACGCTTCTGTTGCTAAAAGGCTTTTGCATGTCTAGATGTTTCTGTTTTAGCGTTCAAACCAGCAGCCTCCTGTGATTCTTTGCTTGATGACTTTCACCAGCTATGATGGAAACGCACCCCCTCTCCGAATTTACCAACCCCTAACTTTAATCCACTCGCTCTCTCGGCTGATGGCGTTTGCTCGTGGATAATCCAGTTTGTCACGGTCGTCGTGAGCTTGGCTGAAAAAGGAAAAGAAGAAAGCCCTTACAGGAAAAACCATTGAGTCATGATCAGGATGTTCAAGGCCTGAAAAACTAGAAAGACTTGTTAAGGCTTCAGTTTTTATAAGTTTGTGTGAGACACTTCAGAGTATTGAACACAAAAAAATGCCTGTGCCCTTGTGTTTGAATGCCTTAACGTGTTTTAGAAAAACAAGATTGATATCCGTGTTGCCAATCTGGAGTGCTTAAAGAAAAGACTGGTCAAGAATCACACCTTCTTCTCTTTCAGGCATTTAAATGGTTTTATTTTTATAATGTTCACTGGGTTTTGGAGATGCATCAGGTTTACAGGAACAGCTTTTCTCTCGAGCTGTGATCAAGTTTGAAACTGTACATTTTTCTGTATAATTGTGTTAATGGGGAAATCAATAAATCTGCATAAACATTAAACATTAGGTTGGGATTCATTATAATAAACACAATGTCTTGTGGGAATGTGACAAAATATGATACACTGAAATATACTGAATTGATAGTAGAAAGTGGCACATTGATATATTTTTATGGAGAGTTAAATGCACTATTTCTTTGGTGGTGCAATTCAACCTCCGACTACTAGGTGGCGACAGGTTTTGCCTGCTTCATTCTGATGGAACAACGAGATCTCGCGATAACATCGGATGTGTCTTAGAAGCTTCTGACTTGAGTTTTCCAATTTTTTTAGTCTTGAAGCTGCAATGGCAAATTTAGAAAACAAATTAGCTTAAAACGTTTATTTCATGTCTCAACATTCTAACAGAATAGCTATAAAAATATTGAGATTTTAAAAAATAACAAATTTTTTATAAAGTGGTTCTCTCGCATTTGTCTTAAAACCTCCACCAGTAACAGGTTTCAGGCTGAAAACACCCATCCGGTTGTCGATCTCGCTAAACTGCCGCACTTCGACAATTTCTTAAGTCCTCCATTCATTACGCACTCAAATTTTAACAACAAAACACCACTGGTGTAAGGTTGGTGGCTCAACAATATCAGATAAGGAGAAACAGCCGGCTGCTACCACTTCAGGTGTAGAAACGACCAAAATCCCCCCCCCAAAAAAAAACGCCTTTTGAAGTCAAAAGACCTAGAAAACGACGACTGGTGTTTAGCGCTATCTAATTGTCACGCATCACGGGTGTCTGGTTCCGGCAGAGACATAGGGAAAATACCCAAGGGGAGGGTTGAGTGTTCTGTGTGCTTTTGCGTTCAAAACCCAGCTATTTACAGATTCGCTCAATCAGCTTTAAAAATTGCAAATACGGTCTGGTTTACTGCATGCAATATATTGTATTATCTCCCCAGTATTGTGATATATATCGAATTGCCGGAGTTGTTATAAAACGCATTCCTACTATCTTGTTGATAAAAGGCTTAACTAGCATAAACTGGCTTAAATCAAGAGGGATACTCCCACCAGCCAAAAGTGAAGTCAAGTCATTTGGCTCCTGGCCATTGATTCCTACATGTCAACAGCAGAAATAAACATGTTTACAGTCTGGTACAAAAAAATATTTTAGTTTTAAAGCCCCATTCCTGAACTTTGCGGATATAAGCTCTCTGTCGCCCTCTCCAGGCTTGCTGCGTAAAGTCACTGTAGCAAAATCAAATCTCTTGCAAAGTCAAGCATAATAGGCCTGTTTACTGGCTTTTTCCAACTTGCGTGCCCAAACAAACATTACGCGGCGTTTCTGCGTTGAATAAAGTTTATCGGGACTGTATAACAACTTTATGCCCGACCAAACACAATAACCCCGGTGAAATAATTTATTACTTACCTATTCTAGCAGCACGGCTAGGTCCGAGTCCGTAATACATGATGTTCTTTCAAGAATTCTCCAGTGAGGAAAAGCCAGTCCAATATTAACTCTGGTCTTTGCTCTTGGTCTATCGCGTTCTCTTTTTCTTTTCCTAGACTCCTCTGATCGGGGATTTCTAGCTTTCTTTGGTGGATCTGCCATTGCTCAAGTCTCTAAACTGCGGGTCTACCACAGACATATATGTAGACACCCCGTGGACTAACGCTGCTTTAGTTGCTGGCCGCCATTTTAGATGTGTCTATTCGCCACCAGTGCATTAATTTCTACTAAGGAAAATACTACCCAACTAAAAAACACATTTTATCAAGCGTTTTCACAAAATCAGACACAAGTTGCTCACTCTGTATTGACTTTGGACTTTTCTACAGTCTCTGCTTTGGAGCATGAGACCCATCCGTAAAGCAACATGCAGTTAGTACTTCCGGCGGCGGACCGCGGCTCTAAAACTGTATAGTGCGATAAACAGATGTGGGACCCCATAGCACTATCACAGCTCCGAAAATGAACAAAATAGATGATGGTATGCCAAAAGAACTTGAATAAAAAACATTAAGGTGTAAAAGTTGCAAAATGGGGCTTTAATCGCTCAAGTGTACCACCATGACAACTCTGCTGGGTGATTTTTTATTTTTTTGTGATTCATCCTTTTAGATATAATTAAAGCTTAAAATAATGAATTATTAGGGGTGTGTCCTTTAGATTGACATGTGTCAGATGAGCTGTCAGTGGTAGCAGCTTGCCTCTGCTTGCTCCAGGGAAGGCCTCACATTGAAGGAGTTGCAGCCTGTAAGGCAGAGGGTAGAACAGTCGCTCAAGCCCAGTTTTCTGGCTAAAAGCGCCCGCCAACCTCCATTAGCTTTGGTTAGCTCAGTTAGCTCTGAGCTCTATTTTTGTACTTTCTGGGAGTGACTAGATGCATTACATGACCAAAATAGCGGTGGTGGGAACCGCCCATTGGGCTTCAATTCTTCTGAAGCAGAAGCCATTCACATGGCTAGCAACTATGAGTGTTAGCTTTTGGTAAACTCAACACAAAAACTGATGTGATTTCATAATCCAGTTTTATTCACATGGTCTCCAGACACGTCTACATAGTTAAATGTTATTTGGCATGATAAATATACAGATTCTCACAAAACTGATGCTAAATAACCAGAGATGTTAGCTAGCAGCTACATGACATTTTATTTGCAATGTTTTATATTCCCTGACATTTTCAACATATTTTAATCTTGTTGGTGTAGCTATAGATGCTGTTTATTCTCACTGCTCAATGAGAACTGAGCTTGTAATGAAGAGTTTTTCATTCAAGAAATCTCTCGTTGCTTCGATAGCTTGTTTCTTTTAAAACCTTAGGTGTGACGATGGGTGCCTACAGACAAGGCGTTCTCACAAATGACAGGAGGTGATAACATGTTCTTCAAACAAGATAGGACTTTAGGGCAACATCAAAGTAAGTAGAATATTTTTTTTTGTTCCAGAATAAAACTTAAATTTTGCATCAAATCAGCAATCTGGAATTTTCCTACTTTCAGGAACTATGAAAGATATTTTAGAAACCCATAAGTGATAGTCTTACCTTTTACTGTGAAATAATGTAGGCAATTTATCAAATTTGTTTTTGATAAGCCCACCTCCCTGTACCATAGATTCTCACGCAGAGTGCCCATCAGCATTAGCCAATAGCGTACAGATGTCAATTATAGATTATGTGCGCTAGGAATGTAAGAAAATATCGATATGGCAATTTATCGCGATATATCGATATTCAATAGCCGGTATCAAATTTTAGGAAGAATTTACTTGCAAACATTTGTGGATTTTCTTTTCTTTTGGTGCAATTCAAATGCCGACAGCTACTTGGCAGCAGTGGGCAATTGGTTTTGTTTCCACCACTGAAATGTAAATCCATCTATTATGGTTCAGATAGCTCAATGTAAAACATGTTATGTATCAGTTGGGACAGTTTATTGAATTTTCCTACAATAATTTCAGTCTAAAAAATGTGCAAATATCATCTGGCTGAATGTATTGCTATTTATTGTGATATATCGCCATAGTCTCCCCTGTATACCTATCGTATTGCCAGAATTTCACCAATACTACTGTGCGCGTTTGTGGTGATAGACTGATGTAAAGTTGGCGACGTTTCTGACGAATAAACAGCATAGCCTGAGAATGGGAATTATGAAACTATGTTGTATCTCTGTTGCCCAGCTAGAGGTGCACATTCACAAATTAGAGGTGTTGCTTTCAGCTGTAACCACTGAAGTAGGGTGAGGGGCTTATGGTGCAGTACATTTTTTCTGCCTCTAGATGGTGCCTTTTGAGGGAAAAAAAACAGCTGTCTGCTTTAAACCTTAATTTTTGACTCAACATAATCGAGACAGAAGTAACAAAAAGGAAAATTCATGTGATGATGCTACGAAGTGTTCTTTATCTGATGTTCTACACTCGGGTCACATTATTAGGGATTCATGCGAATCTTATCAAACCTGCTCAGCAACAGTTGCTGCTGTGAGAAATGGTGTTACAGCTACCACAAAGAATGTCTATCTTATATATGTCTTAACAATAACCATTAAGTGTGAAATATAGTTCAATAAACAGATTAAACGTTTAATGCGTGAAAAATAATCATTAAGTAATTTTAAACACATCACAGTGCGAAAGGGAAAGCCCCAACTAACCGTGACCCTGAACAGGTCAAACAAGGTTCAAGAAATAAACATGTAGATAATTCAGCAGTTATTAACTACTAACAGCTAAAATTAGGTGTAATGATAAATGACCCGCACTTGTATAGCGCCTCTCAGAGTAAAGACTCCAAAGCGCTTTACACTACAGTGTATCATTTATCCATTCACACACACATTCACACACTGATGGTGATGAGCTACGATGTAGCCACAGCTGCCGTGGGGCGCACTGAGGCGAGGCTGCCGAGCACAGGCGCCACCGGTCCCTCCGACCACCACCAGCAGGCAACGTGGGTTAAGTGTCTTGCCCAAGGACACAACATCAGAATTCTCTGTCCGGAACCGGGATCAAACTAGCCTGGCAAGCCAGACTAAATAAATATATTATTTATTTTATTTTTATATTTATTATATATGCAAAGCAAGAATTTGGTCTGGTTCACTAGGCTAGAATCAAACCTGCAACCTTCCGATTACTGGACAACCCGCTCAACCTGTTGAGCTACTGCTGCCTGTTGAGCTACACTGCTGTGTCCTGTGGAATAGTTTTCATGATGAACTACAGAATATTATAACCATGTCACATGAAGCTTGTTTTAAAGGCTATGGTGGGTCTGACACTCAGAGGAGGCTTTGGTGTGACTTAATCAGCCTTTTGTGACAACATGCACACGCGTGTAGCTCATGGAAGTGAAGAGCAGCTGCCTTGGATTCAAAGTACAGTATCTGTCACGGTCTTGTCTAAAGGTTCAATCAAACAAAGGATACAAACACTTTAAAAGTATTTAAATGAAGGAGGAGAAAAAAGCAAATCCTTACAAGGGATGAGCCTTTCAGTGCTACATTAGAATTATTATTACTGTGTATTTTATTAGCTGAGGGCTCAGTTTGAAACAGCCTGGTACATACAGAGTTTACAGTAAGTGTCACAGTAACTGAGGAAAAGTTAAACAGTAGTTACAAAATGCACAGAATAAAATGCTCCTAGTCAGAAACGGTGGTTCTGCACTCATCCACATGCCGTATAAGAAAGATAGAAGCAGCCTGCAGTTTGAACGTTTATAAGAATATTTTGGACATTTTCAAATGTTCTGTGTAAAGTAATAAATACTCAGTTTCTCATGCGTTATAGATCGCTTTCTGAAGTGTGGGGAAAATAGAACTCTGTCCAAAAGGAAGCTGGCCTGTAAGCCTTTACACTTCTGTAAAGGTTGCATTACAGTTGTTTCTATTGAATTTTATGATTCTTTACCTGCATAAATCTCAGCTGCAGCAACAAAATAAAGCATTCAAGTCCAACGGGAATTTTATTTGTAATGTCTGCTCATAGTGCAAAACTTTTGACGATGTCAATGTTCATGAAACATTCCAATGAGCTGGTGTGAAATGTTGGCGCTTGAAATTGTTTGAAGATGGCTGCCATCTGGAATCTTGATGCTCGTCTTTGGACGAGACCTTTTGTTTAAACCTCAAGTGAGTCCAAATGAATCCGTATCCAGAGATTGTTGCAGTGGTAAAGCTGACCTAACTTGACCTCTGGATCCACCAGAGTTACATTTTGTGGTTGTATACAACTGCAGAGTGAAATATAATTACCTGCAATGCTAAAATAATGGTAGTGAAGAAGTTTAAGCTCCTCTGAACTTGGTGAGCATTGTTGCCTTTGTTTAGACTAGTAGTTAGCTTATCATTCCTCTTGAGCTTAACAGAGGCTGTTCAGGAATCTATTTACGACTACGACTGATATTTCTAACTTTTACACAAACACTTCAGAATGGACAAAAGATACGGTTTCAGATGGGCTTTAATGGTCACAGGAGGCAGTTTTTAAGGAAAAGCCCCCTGCTGGTCAGAGGAAAAACTACCACCTGACTAATACCACTTTGCTATTCAGTCTCATTTGTAATTAGTTCCAGCTTTTTTTGTTGTTGTTGTTGAGCATAAAGTACTTCTTACCCCACAATTCCACTACCTCCGCTCCGCTCCGGCATGAACTCCGCAGCAAAATCGGTCCCGTTGTAGTCAATCAGCGCCGCCCGCCGTTCCGCCATCTGGCAAAAATATCGATTCTATTTTTGCCGGACGCCGGAGCACCTCCGCAGTCAATGGACAGAAATCACAACCGCCCAACAGGAAAGGGAGCAAGCACAACTTCCGTTATTTCACAATAAATCGATAAACAAAAAGCGTTTTTTGTTTCATATGCACAGGTTTAACAACTTCTAACAACTATCAATGGCGGTTGAACTTTAAATGCACAAAAATAAGCCATAAATACAGTTTCCACTATCAAAGTAGTCACACTTTGTTGATCCAAACACTGCTGATCTCTCAACACAAATGATGGGCAGATTAAACAGTTCATTTCGATGCTTCTCCCACACAACGGGTGTTTGGATCTAACTTCCGCGTTTATTGCTTGGACTGTATCGCAAGATCTCGAAAATCCCGCGCATGCCTGTTTGCGCACCACAGGTCTCCGCACCGGAGCGGAGCCGTTGTAGAGCGGGTACCAGTAAAAACTGAGTTCGGAAGCGAGCGGCTGCGGAAGGCGGGGGCGGAGCGGAGGTAGTGGAATTTTGGGATTAGTGCATTTTAGCCCAATTTTGAGTAAAATGACAATAATGCAAGTTATTACTTTTTCACTAATTCATAAGCTGCCTTTACACTTGGGTCAGCTCGGTCTGGCTCTGGTAGGGTCATTGCATTTACACTAGAGTTGTCCGCATGAAGCCGTACACTTTTCGACCCTGTTTCCCTGCGGTTCGTTTTGTGCTGAACCGACCACACACACTCACCTATGGTTGGCTAAAAATATGTCACTCCTCATGCCTGCCTACTAGTGGGAGCCTCTGATTGGTGTGAGTAGAATCCGCCAGTGCCAACTTCCCACCTGCGCGATTCACAGACAATCTATGCAGCGTGGTAAACATCTGATTGGAGCTTGGATTGGTCGCAGCTGCAACTGCAACGCGAGGACTGACTGAGCGCTCTTTGATGGGACAACAGCCAACGGTAGCCTCGTAGTAAGCTGCAGGAAGTGTAGAAAGCTGTGTGCTTCATGTCAGAGTCTCCAGAAGCAACACTGCTCACGTCCGCTTTTGTAACTTGCGGCGCTTAGGAAAGACACCACAAGCTTCTCCGCTCCACTTTAACGGAGCTCGCCCATGTCCTCGCCCACATCTACATTCCCAGGAAAATTGCATAAACACAACCTCCCCGCCTAGGCCGAGCTGATCAAAGTATAAATGTACCTATGCAATAATTTCTACAACTCTGACAGCATAATTCGTAAGCAAAATGCTAACACTGTTGCAGCCAAAGTGCCGCGCTTGAAATTTTAAACTGCACTTATCACATGGGCTACTTCCATCTTTTATACTCAAGTTTATGGGCTGCATACCTCCAGATAAAAAAAAATCTATTTATTTCTGTTGTTTTGCAGAGGAAAGCCTTGCTATCACTCCCGTGTCTGCACATGTGTAACTATTACAGAAGAGGTAGTTAGCGAAACTACATTAGGGAACAAAATGCACATATCACATAGAATCACGAAACCTGCACAGATCAAACTAATTCTGTTTCCTGTTATTACCCCCGACTCTGACCGGTTCTATTGTAATGCACAGACACGAGAACGATAACAATTCTCCCATCAAAATCTCAACAATGAACCCACAAATGTTAACTTCCCTGTAAAAACTCCAGTTTTTATTTTTTGCATCAGCTTTATATGCTTTCAGCTTACGGTTTCATTTTTTGTGCTGTGTTGCCTGGATTACCCAAAAGTAAAATGAAGCTAAAATAATGTCTGCCTCTTTGTGCACCTCCTGATTATTCAGAGCTTGTGGGACGCATCTGCTCAGCTTCTCCCCACCAGCCAATCTGTAGCTGTGCTGTAGCTGACTCTGAGCCAGCATCTCCTCTAGCTGCATCGTCAGGGTTTCATGAGAAAACTGCCAAACCGTCAGCGTCTTACAGGACAAATGGGAATAGTTTAATCTGACTGGAAGACTACAACAAATTCCTCTTGTTCTCTCACTGCAGAATGTCTGCCCTGCGACTAAAAGAGCAAGTAAAGTTTCAGATTTTACTGGTCTTTGGTTTTTTTTGTAGAAAAGCAATAGGCGGTGTCAGCCACAGCACAACACAGCCAGCTGGTGGTGTCATTCGTCCTTCATGGCGACTGCATTCTGGTGTCTATCCTGTGGTGAAACTCTCTGCAGGACCAACAGCCCAGAGAAGGTCAGAGAAATCCCAACCCACCACAGTGTGATCTGAGCTTCCCCAAAGATCAGCTGGCCCAGGAAAGCCTGCAAGGAAAGAACAAGAAAAATCTATTTTCCCTTCTAAAGGTTTTAGAGGGTTTGGGTTAGAGAGTGAAAGCTAAAGAGACTGACATCTTATTACAGAAGATAATTTGGCCTACTTTCTAAAATAGGGCAGCTTAAATAGCAAAGAAAAGCGATCAGGTCCATTAAATTAGCTTTACCCTCAACAGACCTACTTACGGAAGATATGAAGTTGGAGGCAGTGGTGGTCACAGTGGCTCGGGTGGAGGACGAGGAATACCTGAGAGCTTTGGCGAGGAACGTCCACATCACAGCGTTGCAGGTGAAAAGAAGTCCGCCACACAGGAGCCTCAGAGGGATGTGGAGCTAAAACATTTTTTATAAGAGGCAAGTCCAGTCACACACTTTTCACGCCAGCTACACTTTATGCTTTTTATAGTCAGGGTTCCTGAAATAGGTCTAGATCAGGGTTCTGCAACCAGTTGACCTCGCGGTGGCTCTTAAAGTTCTCCTTCACTCATTATTTCAATAAGTCTGCTGTGGTCTCTGGTATGAATGAGTGCCTTGGGAGTCGTTCTCTTGGGAAAAAGATTTGTTCGGGAAGTAAAAGTCAGCCAGAGGAGAAGGGGGCAGAAAACAGCAGGATTTAGAGTCTTGCTCAGTATTATTCATGATATGTGGACATCTCGTCTCTGTTTGGCTAACAGCAACCCAACTCTTCCACTGCTGCCGTTTAGTCTGCAACGTGTATGTGTTGTCGCTAATACAGTCAAATGTAAGGGCGTAGATTTGGCATGGACGTGGGTGACATGTCCCAACCAATATCCAGCGATGACCAAATAGTCCCCACCAATAATTTGACCGCCTCAGCTAAAAACAACAAGCCATTTGTTACCTTAGGGATGCAGAAAGGGTTAAATGATGTTCTCGCCTTGGGACCTACCTCCGTAGTGTGATTGGCTGCACATACTGTCACTGGAGACTCGTGAGGCAAACTACGCTGGTTGTTAGCAGCGTCAAAGCTCGACGGAAATTGCTCCAGTCCTTTGCAAGTCTCGTGTGTTTGCAACGCGACATGACACATGGGGCCAAAAGCGAGTAAAACTGAGGGTCCTGAGAGGATGACAACAACTGCATAAAAGCTGCACATGAAGAGAGGACGACGGCCATGAACTTGAGAGGCTCTTTTATCAACACCACTGTCACCTTACATTACAGCAGGCAAGTTCCTCAACAACCAACCCGCACGCTTCCGGTTGTCACAATAAAAGCGCTGTTCACCACGTCCTGTCTGACTGTATGAATCAAAATGGTCTTACAAAAGTAGTTTATATGAGGATGGAAGATAAAAAGAAGAAGGTTGAGGACAGAGCTATTTTTCAATAGATTTACAAGTCCCCACCAATGTCAAGAGGAAATCTACGCTATTCATCTACTTATCGACTTGCTGTGTATGACTCATCTTCGCTCGTCATCTAGAATATTCCAGCTCTGATCCATAACTGGCAATAACCATGAATCTCACGGAACAGCGGTGAGGAAGTCACAAATTTAGTTTAGAAAATGGACAGCAGTACCCAAATGTAACCACAGGGTGTCACCCTTTCTTCACATAATGCACTTTTAATGTTGCACAACACATTTGAATTTTACTCCGAGTTACATGATCCACATTTACATGTACTGCAGCTCCATCAAATTAAACAAAAACTTCAAAATAAAAGTGTTACATAAAACATTAAATGTCAATGAAACTCCTAAAAACATAACCGACAAGAGGCTTATTTAAATTTTACATGGTCTTGGACTATTTAGAAAGTGACACCACAAATGTAATTGCATTAATGTGTTCACTTTTCTTTTTTCTAAATACTAATGCTGAATTAACCAACAACCTCCTTAAAATGTATTGATTCAGTTTTTAATGTAATCTGGGTTTAACTGTGTTTTAAAACTTGCTGCTATATGTCTGCCTTTTACAAGAAGATTGCTAATCTATGAAAACTTCCTGGTAGATTAAAAATAATAATAGAAATAATGTTCCCCAGTTTGATGTGACCTTAATAGAGAAGGATATCCTATAGGGTTGATCCTTTTCTAATTCATCCTCTGAAAACAGACCAGCTCAAATGTTATGACGCATCCAACCCTTCTCGTGCGTATTAATCATAAGCTTACCTGTTTCTAAGCTTTAATTGTCAATCTGCGGCAGCAAGGAGGCTCACATAAGCACGGACTCGCTATAACTAAAAAAGTAACGCGATACATCACGGAGCTGTGGCGTCCTTCAGCACGCGGACACATCCACGAGCGCCGCACGAGCTCCTGTGATGCTGATGCTGAGGGAGTCAGGGGGGATTGGGACGGCGGGGGGAGGACAACATCCGCAACCTCACCCCCCAGACGTGGAGACGGTGCTCATCTTTCACTCACCCGGTCACACGCTGTAGTTTCGTCCGCTTGACGAAATTTCCGCTGCTCTCCCCACGTCCGGAGTCCGGTTTCACAGACTCCCTTCAGGTAGTCCGCTCCGAGGGACAGCTTGGCCGACGACGACGCCACGGCTCCGAGGAAGCCTGCCAGTAATGCATAGATGACTCCCGGGAACATGATGGAGACGGCAGTCGACGCACATTATCCTCTAATCCGCGTGATTTATTTTACATTTTTGCTGCTGCTGTGGACGGTCCTGTGTTGAGCTGCCGATGTGTGCGTGTGCGCGTGATCGCATTTTCCTGCACTTGTGCTGCGTGACACGTCCGGAGGCAGTCACGCAGCACAGTCGCTGTGGCATTCTGGGAATTGTAGTTTCACATTCCAAACCCGTCTTTTAAAAGGGACGTTTTATCTTAAGTTATAATAGTTCAGTGGTCAACACCAAACATGTTCATGAAGGCCTCTGCACTAAATCCATCCAACGAAAAGCAATTTTAATAATAAAATAGCTGAAACACCCACGGCCACCACTCCCCCCTTCTGGTTGGGTCCCTGGAACAAAGACAAATAAAGCTATAACCGCTTTGCCTTATACGCTCTGAATCAAACACAAACTGCACTTGAAGTTAAATTAAAAGTATGAAAACATTTTTATTTGGTTTGTATACCTGGTGGAACATCATTAGCCAGTGATGGATGTAATTAAGTACAAGTAAAAACAGAGCTCATACTTTGCTACTTTAAGTAACTTTATGAGATTAATTTTTACTTTTACTCCACTACAATTTCTAAAAAGTTTCAAAAATAAAGGTACTTTTATTTGAGTTACGTTTCTGGGGGAAGGCCAGGTTATTGCACGTTTTTTGCTCAAACTAGCAAAATGTTAATCTGATCATTTGATGTTTATACCTATGTTGATATTTAAGACGGTATATTTTGCGTAAAACTTAGACATTGTGATTATATTGTGGGTTTCTTAACCTAAAAAAATTAAAATAATTTCTGTTACATCACTATGTACAGTAGCATTTGTTAAATAATAATCAAACACAGCGACTGTTATTTATTGAAATGTCATAGCATTCATTATCTTCCAGGTCCCTTTGAGGGCAACCTTAATGCCTCAGTGAGTTTGATGCTCCTGTCCTAGAATATGAAGTCGAGTGATTGGCTCCCTCTGGAACTGCATGGTTCCTGGACTGATTTAAAAAAAAATCTGAAATATTAAAGCTAACTTCCTTTTACCTGTCTGCAGGAGACAAACAGAAGATACATTTAATCGTGCACCTATGTTTATGTTTATTTAGCAGACGCTTTTATCCAAAGCGACTTACAATTTATAACCTACAGGGCATGCTGGGATCTGTGGGGGAAACCGGAATACCCAGAAGAAACCCACGCATGCATGGGGAGAACACGCAACTCCACGCAGAAAGGCCGCAGCCAAGTTTCAAACCTGCGACCTTCGTGCTGCGAGGCAACAGTGCTAACCACAGGGCCACCATGCAGTGCACCTGGTCTGAATCATTCATCTGTGTTTGTCTTGCTTGTCTTCTGTCCTACTAAAAAGTCAAATAAGATTCATTTCATTTCATTTATTTAAGCTACATTGTAATATGATAGAATATTTTCCCATGTGTCACATGACCCTCTTCTCTTCCTATTGAAAAAAACTAAAGTTGGATCCAAGATGGCCAACTTCGAAATGGCCACCATGGTCACTACGCATCTTGAAAAGTTTGCCCCCTCACATATACTAAAGTGCCACAACCAGGACGTTAATATCACCAACCATTCCCATTTTATTAAGGTGCATCCATATAAATATAAACAGGCCCACCCTGTACAACCACCATTGCCTGAGAGTCATGCTGTATTTTCCACCCAGTAGATGTCGCTGGTGTCCTGTAATGGGGTTTCTGCAAGCTACACAAGATGTATAACTTCTATTACTGTAGAAATAATACAAATCATGCATATTGTCTGTTTGTTGCAATCTACATAGAAAAAATTCAGACCTCAATTTATCTGTTTGTTTATTTTAAGAGATTTTAAAGGAAACTAGAATCAGAGTTATAAAGGAACATTTTTCTAGGAATTTATCTGCAATCATTTTCCCCCCTAATGTCTGAAAGGATGTAATAAAATGGAAAGCAACGACAATCCAGAAGACAAACAAATTGTGTCAGCTTGCTTCAAGGGGGTGCTTGTCCTCGGCCCTCCACATTATGACACAATTATCTTTCTGGAGCGAGCTGAGCAGAAAACGTCAAATCAAGTGGCGCTATTAGCTGTTATCTCCTCACTTGGAGTTTCCTGCCCAGGGCTCCTGTGACAAACACAAGTGTCAAGTCGGAGCACTAATTAGGACTCTTCTGCTCCTGCTCAATTGAGCGATAATTGAACCCATGCACGGAGAGCTTTCGTGACATTTCAGCTTAAGGTCTGTCACTGCCTTCCCATATCTGTGCCCTCCTTTTTGCTCTTCTTCTCCACGATGATCTTAAGACTCTTCCAGACTGTGGGTTGATTAGTGTGATGACATTTCTGACCTTTAACCTGTTACACTGCCTTTCCAAAGGCAGTTTAAAAGTACAGACTAAAAGTTTTAAATCCTCCGTTGTTTACTAAAAATTCCAGTCTTAGTAGAAAAAGATTATTAGAAAAAAATAAAATAAACAAACACCTCTGCGAGAAGAATCTCAATGCTCATTCATTTTGTTAACAGAACATTTTTAATGATTTATTTAAGGAAATTTTGCATTGCTTTTGACTCATTCTTTTCAGGTTCGTTAACAGCTATGCTAACTCTGCACAGGTTGCCAGTCCTTAACAAACCAACAAAGAGAGACACATGAGACTAACAGCCTGCACTGAGACAGGCCATGAGTACACATAGCCGGGCTTTTGTGAAACCAAATATCTTTCCCTATCTAGGAAAAAACATTGGTGTACACCACCTCGTTTTCAGCAAAATAAATAAATAAATAAATAAAAATAATCCAGTGCAATGTGAAGCGCGTTCATATCCATACCCGGCCTGTAGGTGGCAGTAGCTCCCAAAATCATTGGTGTCTTGGCTGAAAAAAATTCCTTGGATGTGTAACTAGATGGCAGGCAATAACCATCCTTAAAGGTGCAATATGTAAGAATATAGTGAGAATTTTACAGTGATAAAATCCCAAGAGCCTAAAGTTTCAGTTATTTTAGAAGAAAGGTTATACTGGAAGATGTTTCATATCCAGCTGGCTGCACGGGTTGTCTTTCAAAACAAAGGAAGGAGGGATGTAACTGTGTACCATCAGTGAATGTGGGGGTGCTGTGTCTCCTGTGAGCTAATACTGCAGCACCGACAATTGTAATTTCATCACGGCCGGCAAAAAACTCCAGGGTTGTTTAAAGTGGTTGCAGTAACCACATTTTAATTTATCATTTTTACTACTTTTCTTTATAACTCACCTTTAAAAAGCAAGTTACCCCAAAATCACTGTTTTTTGCTGATAAATCAAATAAATGAGTATTTGACAGTGTTGTAAGTGTAGTCATTATTTTAGTTCAACTTAAAACTGTCAGTTTGGCGCCTTCTTTTGGTTAAAACTCAGCACTACATTTTAATAGGCTAATGCCATATGATGTCAGCTGCACTGCTGCTGTGGCTTGTAAAATCAGCCACATCTCTGGCTCGGCTGCTCTGTAGTGAGTTGGAGTTAGAACTGGATTTGCAAACTATCGTTTACAGCTCAACACCAGTGGCCTCGATCAACTCACGAGCCATCAGTTTGAAACAATATGGCTCAGGGCTAATCACCTCATCCAGAATACCTTCCTCCCTTCCCTCTGTGCTTTGGGGATGGAGGTGGAGAAAAATCCTTCACCTCAAAGACTGCTGTGAAGCGAAGGAGCTAGCTCCATTGTAAGGGACTAGAAAGTAAGCCATACTTTGTCCGCTCAAGCGAGGTGTTTGTGCTTATGTTTGTGTGTTCATGTGTAAGTACATACATGGGTCTATGTTTGTGTGTGCATGTGTAAGTACATACATGGGTCTATGTTTGTGTGTGTACGTGCATGTTTGTTAGCAGTTCAATTCTCCGATGGCTGAATCTCGAAGTGACGCAGGAGGTTGGGTGTGTGTGTGGGGTGCAGTCTGTCACACACTCCCGTAGCGCCGCCCTCTCGGTCCACCAGGCATCACTCCTTGTGGCACATTTTTCAAACAGGAAATGTGGGTGGAGAAAGACTGGTAGGGGGGTGACTTAGTCTTTAACATTGCCATTTGCCTGTGTGCTTCTACATAGAGCAGTAACTGAGCTTGTAAAAACAATTAAGTGAGTTCAAACACACGTGATATCAGAGCAATTTTGTTGCAGGCTTTGACATATCGAAACCTAAAATCATGGTTATTTAAATCCACAAGGGAATTCGGAAAATGGAGAATTTGCAATTCTCCACCTTGGTTAAAGTTTTTGAAAGAATCATTGTTGGTCCTATTTATTTTCACTTTCATGTATATGACAAGACAAACCGTAAGAAAATATCTTTGTTTTGAGAGAAATCTGGTTAAGTGTGTACAGGGCCTTAAATCTGTAACATTTTACTTAGTTTTACTGTATTACTAAGTACTTTACACCAAGCAGCTCTTTTAAATATTTCTAACAATAAAGATCTAAAAAAAAATTGCACAATTATTTTTCTGAACAATATTCACTTCATGTTCCTAACCAAGTCATGGTGCAACGAGGATGAGAAACAGCGTCAAAATGAAATAAGAAAGACCGATGTTTGCCTTTTTACTAATCTGTTTTTCTATTTGACTATAAAATAATTTTTTTGACAGAAACAACCGTGAATAAATAAATAACTGCGATTGCTGTCATGGTCTGCGTCTGCGTCTCCCCTCATGTGTCTCCTTGTGTTCTCCATCCCTCTCCTCCTTTTGTGTCTCCTAGCGCCCTCATGTGTCCTTTGTCTGCATCTCATTTATGTGTCTCTGTGTTCTTCATGAAGCTCCAGCCCTTTTTGTCCCCAGCTCCCTCCTGGTTTTCTTCATGTCTCTTAGGCTCCCCACCTTAGTTTCTATAGGTCTTTTATTTCAGTTGTGTGTTTGTGTGTGTGTGTCCTTCCCCAGCTCGAGTGTGTGTGTGTGTGTGTGTGTGTGTCCTTCCCCAGTCAGGTCTGGTGTCCTCCCCTGCTCCTTTTTGCTCCTCCTCTCAGTTATTGTTTTCTCCTGTGCCAGTTCTCCTCACACCTGCTCCTCGTCTCCTATCACTCCAGCTCCAGTGTATAAAACCCTGTCCTTGTCTTAGTGTTGTTGTCGGTCCAATGTTGTATTCTG